TTCTCTTCATGTCTTAGCTGGAAAAATGGAAACTTCTCGAAGTTCTGGGAGGCAGCATGCGCACCCATCATCCTCACCCCTCATTTTCACCACTTTCCTGGTCTGTGAAGTCTGGATCGCCTGATGTACGGGAACAACGCGCACATACAAACCAACAGTGATGACCTCTGGTGAGCTAAGCCTCACTGCACGTTTCCAAGGTGTAAAAATTGGCAAAGCCCCTATTAGCGGGAGCAATGATCATTTTTCATTGTTTCCGGTCTCATTACAGATCTGATCGGCCATGAATATGAAATGTATTAAAGTTCCCTAATGACATTAAAGTTGGATGATCCTTACATCTAACATTTTTAGACCTCTAATCATAAGAGAAAAAATTAAATTAATTGTAGTAAGAAGCAGGGCACTGTCACCTTCATCTTGTCACGCGAGGTTAGTTACCTCGCAGTTAAGTTTAATCAGCTGGCCGGCACACACAGAGGGGTCTCTGCATTCTGTGTCACTCTGGCTTGGAGAGCAGTCTGGTCGTGCCCTGAGAACTCTATGAATGCTTTCTGTTCCTGCTGACCTGGGAACCCCTGGCATTCAGAGGCAGGAACAAACTCAGGAGGTAAACCAAGGTGGAGCTCACACCGCCTCACCCCTACAGGCAGGTGTGTGTGCACAGCTCTCACTGAGGGGACAGCACCCTCCCAGGTCAGCCCAGAGGGATGACGAGCCCCCAAAGCCAAGCACCAACAGCAGCAGCGAGCGCTGTCATGGGAGAGGGGTGACAGGAGGCACTCGGGGCACACAGCGCCATCAAACACAGAAGGTTGTGCAGCCCCACACACCGCAGCAGGTTCAAGGTCATGGGCATGTTTGAAACCGAACTTCGCTTCTAATCGCCGTGGCTGCGAGCAGCTGAGTGGGGCGGGTCACTGACGCTCACAGTGTGGGAGTTAGGAGGGTGGACCTCAGCCATTGGGAGAGTGAATAACCTGTGGCCCACTTCTCTGTGGCCTATTTTAAAAAGCAGAACTGGGTGCCGTCCATATGCATCCTGATTTATTGGGCCTGGAGGAAGCCACGGGAGGTGGGCACCCTGCCTGCCTGCCTGCAAGGGGTGACGTCGGTGGGAGCAGCTGGACTCAGGGCGTAAGCGGGGCCACCATCGCCTTTTGCTGGAGCCCCTCAGTCTTGACAGCTACCAGTCTGGGGCCACAGTCGACACCGTCCCTGATGTCACCATCCTGCATGGCGGTGTCCCTCTGCCATCCTGTGATTTTAATATCGCCACCTTCCAAGGGCTGTCGCCGGAAGTTTTCTGGGCCTCATCCTGGCAATTAGATCGAGGTGTTACTGTTTTTTAAAGAAGTCTTCTCGCAGCTCCTGTGGAATGTGCACAAAGGCGGAGTACTGTCAGTGACGCTCCCGCCACGTCAGATCCCAGCCTCACACGGCGCCACAGGCTCAGCGCCGTGACCAGCGTCTCGCTGAGAGTTGGGCATCGTCTGTAACAGGATTAAAGCTGATATTAATTGACAAAATGACACTGCACTTGGCCTTCCAAAACCACAGCACATCCACAGATTCCGACTTCCCCCTCCCCTTGTGCGAGGGAGCAGCTACTTTCAGGGTACAAATGCCCATCTCTGCGCCTCACAAACGGCCACATTCAGGAACACAAAGCCCAACTGTGGTGAAAACGTTGGTATTCAGATGTGCTCATGTTTGGTTAATGCGTTGAAGCCAGTACAATGTAGCCCTTGTTTTCCTCCACATTTGCATGGATGCATATGAGCCGCAGAATCTGAAGCACAGCTAGAAAGCTGGGCTCTTTCTGTGGGTCCTAGGATGAGCTTTGCGCCCTGCAAACCCTGCAGCTCCGTGCCGGCCATGGTTTCTTCCTGTGGCTGCGGTGCGATGAGGCATGTTCACAGGTGTGTTGTAAATGCCGGTGTTCCCTCGTGGTTGAATTGAATCAGTGGTCACGGAAGACGTGCTGGGTTCTATGTGCCATGTTTCCAAGGCGTGAGCATGGCTGCATCAGGCAGCTCTCCCAGGAGCATGGATGAGGTCACGGTGGTCCTGGTGCCAAATGTCTGCCTTGGGCTTCCTAACTTGCACATGTTCATGATATTTGCTTGGAGTAAGTTACTATGCTTTGCAAATACAGGCCAGTACGTCAACTGCATGACAACTGTCCCTCATGGGACAGCCTCTTGACCCATCTACCTACCTATCCACCCACCTACCACTTACTGAGTATCTAATATGCACCTAGTGATTTTATTGAAAGAGGGTAGAACTCTTTGCTTTTTGCTATTTTATGTGTGTGGAAGTATGTGTTGTGGACATACAACCCTCTCAAACATAGGTGACAAAGGAAACGACCCTGCATCACGTGGTGTGCAGTCATCCCTGGATGGTCCCCTTCCTCCCCACCCAGGGCACCCTCATCTCTTCCAGAGGCAGCCCCTCACCCTGAGCCCACCTGAAGTCTGGTCCCCCACACATGCCTGCTAGTGCCCCCCATTGTTCTAGGAGAGGCCAGCCACTTGCTCACCCCTGAAGGCCCAGCACAGTCTGGCCGGTCCACCATCTCCCACCACACCTCTCCCCTCCCCACCCGCTCCCACCTCAGACTCCAGGCCTCTGCTTCTTCCTGGAGCACACACCGAGCTTAGTCTGCCCAGGCCCCGTCCTGGGGTCCTTTCCTCCATAGTAGCACCCCCAGTGCTCACACGGCCACAGTCTCCTTTCCCCCGTGTTCCTCCGGGGGCCTTCCTGAACCCCTACCCTGCTCTGTTTTCTTTCATATTATAACTTGGTATGAAATTACATATTGTATCCATTTCCTATGGCTGTCATAACAAATTACCACAAACTGGGTGACTAAAAACAACAGGAATTTCTTTTCTCACAGTCTGGACGCCAGAGGCTGAATCAAGCTGTCGACAGGACCACACTCCCAAAGGCTCCAGGGGACGGTTGTCTCCTGCCTTCCG